AAACCAAAGGCTGGTCCAATGACCTTCATTTTTATTCAGGAATGATCAGCAAAATCAGCTCTGGTGCTGAGCTCAAATGAGAGACACCAGAACCAACATTAAAGAGGCTGTGATTAGAGCAGCCTGGGCTTTAATTGGACCTCATCAGAACCACAGGCTGGACTGGATCCACAGGATTCATTGGCCATCAAACTCATCAGAAGAAAACATTTCCAGATACCCTGATTTTGGGTCTCTGGAAATATTTCACTCTAAATGAAACGGATCTATAAAATAACCCGTTTAGCTTCTGAAACAAGCGGCGGGAAATATTCCACTTTTATAGATGAGCCATTTCAGTGTTCCTAAGAGGGGAGGGATGTTTTCTACTCCGGCCTAAACCTGGACTCACCAGCACATGTTTCAGGAAGAGCTGACATGAGGAAGGAAAGACAGGAAGGACAGAACTGAGATAAGGCAGAAAAAAGAAGCAGGAAATTACAGGAGAAAAGATGGAAGAAAGACAGGAAAGGAGGAAGTAGAGCAGGGCTGGAGGTAGAACGAACCAAAAGGAGAGAAGGGAACAAAGGAAGGTCACCAGGAGGGAGGGGGGGAGCAAGAACCTAAAGGACATGAGTGATAAAGGAAAGGAGAGAAGGTCACAGGACACAAGGAAGAAAGAAAGGCAGGAAGTGGTGACGCAGCTTCCCCTCTCCATCAGACAGAGGCAGAGAAAACAACGTCTGGAAATCTCCACTAATCCTCCAGACTGATCCAGAACGCTGAACATCAAACTGGTTCAGGAAGAAACTCTGACTGATTTCAACATCTAAAAAAAGAACCTCTGCAGACCCGGTTCAGACGGACCAAAACCTGGTGGCACAGCTGCCTGAACCCCGCTGGTCATTCTCCAAACGGCCTGAAGGAGAACCGACCCTCAGAGCTGCAGAACTTCCTGCTTAAACTCATTTCAACATCCTGAACACATCGGCTGCATCCGACTTTTTTACTTCCAGTCCGATTTTTTCCCACGTCCCACTGACCGCGTATAGAGAAGCTCCGACTACGCAGGGGGAGCAGATCTGTGTGGATTTTTTTTCACATTTGCCTCTGTACCACGCAAATAAAAACAACTTCCCACAAATGACTTGAGGCCGTATTATAAATCAAACCTTAGATTATTTATATTCCATTTGTCCATAAGGGTCTACGGATAAAAAGCAATCAAGCATATTTGTAATAAAAACATTCCATGAGGAGAAAATGTTTTTTACCATCAGAAAAGTTCAATTCTTATAGCTAATGCTAACTGTCTTGCTAATTAC